CTCCATGCGCGATGTGGGCCAGGTCTTCTAACAAGTGTCATGTCGATACTAAGGGGTGTTTTCGTTTAAATTTATCCTAAGGAAAGAATACTTCGAGTTTGCCCTCCAACCTACTAGTCGTAAACACGTGGTTTGAAAGTGCTTAAAAGTTTAAGGATAGACGTGTGTTATATTTCCTGTGCTTCTTTCGGTGGCATTTTATCTTGACAGAAATACTGGCATCCCATCTTTCCAACTATGTGAGTGACTTGAGTGCTTCCTCGTCCCACTGGCAATCGAAAAATGTCTTCTCCACTGACTTTGCCATGACAGGTCACAAATTTTGCCCTTTGAACTTATAATTTTGTTAAAGCACGTTCAAACATTTTGTTCATTTTTCCATATTCAAAATTCTGGCCTGTCCATTTCATCTATTCCGATTTTTCTGTTCTGCCATTCTGGCATTCTTTCTGGCATCTATGCTCTCATTCGTTCTGGCATTCTTTTCTGGCATTTATTCCGTTTTTTTCTTTGAAATGGGCGCTGCCGGACCTCAACCGCGAGCGCCAGTGGTTTTGAGATCTACAACATGCTTTTCCTCAACTTGCGGAAAAACAGTGTGGGAAATTTGGAGTGCTGCAATTCAGTTGTTAGTTGTGTTTTTTTTTGCTGTTCACCAGTGTGCTTTTTGGAACGCCAATTTGCGTTTTTTTTGTTTGTGTTCACCGGTGTGGTTTTTGGAACACCCAGTTGTGTTTTTTTTATGGTCACCAGTGTGCTTTTGTTAGTGCGCACTTTTCAAGGGAAGAGAAAGCAGAATAACGATTGTTTTCGGCGTTTTTCCTTTGGTTTTACCTTGTTGCGCGACTTCTGAGCAACATAAAATAAAAACAATTGGAACATCAAGAGCTTTGTGCAAAAAATGCATTTTTGCGATTTCAGTTTTGCTAATTTTTGCAGTTACTTTTGTGGTCACTGCTACTCCGACAGGGAAATACACAATGAAAACCTATCTGACATTCTATCCGGCTTTCTATTTGGCATTCTATTGCATTCTGTCTGGCATTTTATGGGCTAAACAATTTGACGTTTTATGAGTCTCCAGCATAAATGAGGTTCTACTTGGCATGCATTCTGTCATTCTATCCGGTTAAAAATGCGGCAATCTACTTGGTAAATATTGAGATATTTTATCCGACATTCAATTTGGCGTACTTTTTTGGCATACAATCTCGCATTCCTATCCGGCATCTTGCCTGGCATTCTATCTGAAATATTTTGTGCTTGTCTTCGACATTCTCTTTTGACATTCTCTTTTGAAATTCTCTGGCAGTTTATATGGCATCTCGTTTTCTCAGTGTTCGGGCTTGTAAAGGCCGGGAGAACCAGCGAATTCGCTATAGAGTAGCCGTGTAGAGATGGCTGGCATGTGGGGTGTGTGTGTGCGGGGTGTTCTGTTAAAATCTAAAGACCCTCACATGGCAGGCAGGGAAGCAATCAACAATAGGCGGTACAAATGCCAACGTGTCGTGTGATTTTTCGTATACTTGGAGAGATCTTTATGAATGACAGTATCGAACCGACGAAACGGGTTTTGGATGGTTTTGCCGGCGCTGCGAAATTTGACCCTTGTTTATTGGCGAATCTTTGCGAATAAGGGGCGTTCGGTTTCTGGAAGTGTTTTGCTTGGTGGGACGAGGAGTTTGCACGTCATGTCTGTTTGCGACCTTGGTGAAAGTTGGTGAGAGCTGGTGAAAGTTGGTGAGAGCTGCTAAGCGTTGGTGAACGTTCGTAATTCTCGTTTGACTTTTTGAAATACGAAACTGGATTTCTTTAGCATGCATCTGTGACCCGGAATAGTCTCAAACAACAAATACAGTAAATACACCCAGAGTGCCGGAGCAAGTGCAAAATGTGTTTTCGCACCTTAGGTAACCCTCTTTCATGTCTTCAACCTTCCCAATTTGGGTGCCAGAACTTCAAATTTCAACCCTAACCAACTATTTGCAAGACTTCACGCTCGCAGAATGCAAACGATGCATTTCTTGCCCCACTGCAACAATCCCGGCAGTTTAGTTATCATGTTGCCTCCATATCACGAACTTCTTGTCTTGTTTCGGCCTACTGAGCCTACTGTACTTTTTCCTGTGAGCGGATGGTGAAATGCTTGGGGATTGGCTTTTGCTGCACCTTGAAGGGTTGGGCCCATGCTGCATCTGCAAAAAACATAGATCCAGTTATGGAAAAGGCATCGAAAGTTTGCCGGGCTTATAAAAAGGGCTCATAAGACTGAAAAGGCCATCAAACATCGGTTCCATGATTTTCAGGCTGTGATAACTTCATCTAACTTCAACTGTTTGTTTTGGATGTTCACACCGTTGCATTCGACGATGCGACCTTCAAATTTCGAATGTGCATTTATACAATGGGCGGGTTCGATTTGTGTGTGAGATGGCTGGTGGTTAACATTGTGCAACCTCATCGTTAAGACATTTTCGACTTCTCCGCATGTGTTGCCATTTTGCCAAGTGAAGCTTGGATCACAAACGTCTGGTCCATTTAACCCCGTGACGATTGGTAGGGTTGGTATTTGGAACAGCAAATTTTGTTTTTGTATTTATATGTATTATATATACATATTCTATGTCATTCTACCTGTATTTTTGATGGGCTCCCTCGCGGGCAGGTTTCATTCAGCAATTTTTGCCGCAATAGGTTTAAAGCGATGAGAGGTACTGATGGTACCTCCAGAGTTCCTGTTCCAAATATTTTTAACATTGACATGACATATCATGACATGTAAACCATTGTTATACTATAATTCACCCATATGCAAAAGTATCCAACCACAATCATATAGTGATTATAAACAACACGGCCGTAGCACCTTTACAACATGGCGGTCCTTTTGGCTTACCTTTAAGGCCGATTCAATTGTGACGTGCTGCAACTTTTGCCCGGGCCTTTCATGAAACCAATGTTCCTAAAATCGCTCCCATCTGTAAAACGGCAAAGGTACATATCCTGCTCGTAGCGCTGCGTGGCTACCGAACGGAACGTGTGTTATACGTACTCTTGAACCTAGTTTCACGGAAATGATCAAGACCTGGCTTCAATGGGGGTCTCTAATCCGAGGTCGTTCATGATTTATGGTCAGACCGTGCTGAGACAACAAAAACCCACCAACATGTTGTCGAGTCACTGCCGTCACAAGTTCGATTTTGTGATAGACGAAGGATGGTTTTCATGGACAACTTAGTACTAGAAACAAATGAGAACACCAGCCATATTTCTGACCAAACTTGGGATTTCCTGCAACATGTTCACAAAATTCTGGGATCCAGAGCCGATTGACAAAGGACGTTTCTGGAAGCATGTTCCATACCGACAAAATCAGCTGGGTTGGGAATGTTGATGCCTCGCAACGAGATCGCCAAGAATGATGAGATACGGTACGCACAGTATAATGGGATGCAGAAGTGCTGCGCATTCTTGTTGGTGAACGTTGGTGAACCAAACTCTCCCCCAAATTGAGTTGGGATCATCACCAAATGGATGAAAAACACGAAACAACTTTACATGAAAAACCTTGAACACCGTCTGCCTGGATCAGAAGCACGTTTGATTTTCACTGCTTGTGTTTCTCCCTTGCTTTTGCTGTTGAAGTCTCTTCCTCCGAAAGCTACTCTGCCCTGAATCATTTGTGATAGGCTTGCATGGAAACACATTGCCAAACCAACATTGCGATGAACGTTTACGACGTAAGTCTATGTGTTCGCCATGTGTTCGCCTGGCGTTGTGTGTCGAAGTGTTTTTGTTGCACGTCTTGAAACTGGGTCGTCGTTGGCTGCTGTCATTGTCATCGGTAGGGCTGTTTCATTTCCTAACGCTGTGCCGATGTCCACACCGATAAAGCGAATTAAAGTCACGAGTGTGAATGAGTAGGAAAAGTGTCACCTAGAGAAAACACAATCAATATCACATAATATCCTCAAGGAAAAATAATGATCATGATTCATGATATATTATATATCAAAAAAATAATGTTAGACAGTTAGACGTTGGATCCTATACAATTTTGAAGGCACTTCGCTAAGAGAAGGTTTACCCACACAGTTGCTCACGGTAGCATCCATCACTTGGAGTTTCGGTTGGATCGTCGCATATCGCCGCAACTTTCCCCTGGCGTGGACGATACCCATTGGGACCCGCAGTTTTTTCGTGTCGATGACGTCGCCCGTCTTGTTTCCGTCCGAGGTTTCGTTGGCAGTTTTCAGTTTTGGAAGGTGAACTTCGACCAGTTCGAGAAAGTGGGCAGCACATTTCAAGAATTTTCAATAGGGATGTTACCACAGAAGCACAATGGATTACACATTGGACACTTTCCACTTTGCACATCTTTTCACGACTTTGCACCTGTCCTTCGTTCTGCATGTGCGTCGCAATCTTGTAGCATACTTTATCCGATAGTCGTCGGAATTTACCGAGTTACCCGTTGCCGTCGGGATAGAACTTATGGAATGCGTCGGACCGGTGGATACCGTACGTCGAATGTCCACCGAATGTTCACGGATACCCTCGCCCACATTGGGATCTTCCAAGTGTTTTCTCTTGGCCTATGTCACGTACCGTTGGGTAGTGGAGCTGCAATTTGTTTCAGCTGTGTGATTTAATCATGTTGCAACATGTCTCGTCTCGCCGACTCAGTTTAGCACGAAAAGCAGCAGCCAGCAAGAAGAACAGCCACAGCCATTGCACCATGGCCCAGCATTTAAAAAACAACCAAAGATCATCACTTGTACACCGATCACCCAAAACACCCAACCCAACGGCCAATTGACTAATGATCAACCAAACACTCCCTCAACCAGCCAACCAGCCAACCAGCCCAAAAAACAACAACAATCAACCATCATTTACCAGCAATTTACCAGCATTCAACCAGCATCAAACCAGTGTTTAAACCAGCATTCAACCAGCATTTACCAACCATTGCAAGCTATTGATCTATTGGACATAGCCTGCAGGGCCATCTCCTGATGATCTTCCAAAGTGTCCTGGGCTTTCTGAATCTCCTGGACGAAGCCGGCTTGATCCCATGAACGCCGAAACTGCAAAGGAAACTTCTTGGAAATTTGGAAGAAATGGTTGGATTCACAAAGAAATTATGGATGTTGGAGCAGTGATTGTACTATGCCCCAAACTCTTTGGTGATGATTGTCGGGAACCTCATTTTTGGTGACCCTTACAGTACTTTGTGGCCTTCCACTATGTTGAGATGGTTAAACTTCATGTCCCTCACAAGGCTTCGTGAGGGACGTGATTGTTGACCCTCTGCGGGCTTTCGCTGTTTTCAACACTTTTTACATAAACCCTAAAGAAGACCTACAAAAAACCTATAGGAAAAACCCTAAATTACCTAAAGAAACCCTAAATGAACCCTAAAGAAACCCTGCAAAAACCATATGAAAGTCTATATAGTGAAGTACCTGTGGGCCCATACCGCACGTGCTGCGGGTAATATTTCTGCGCATCTATATCTATCTCTATCTATCTATAATGTCGTATATATATATATATGGTATATCTTGTCTTAATCGTTTACAAAAGTGTATCACGCTGCATCATATTGGAGTTTTTCTCCTAATAAGTACATCCACTTCCTACATTGTATTGTATTGCGTAATGATCACATCATATATCATTTCATGGGGGTATCAAATCGTATCATACAATGTAACATCAAACCATCATGTGTGATGCATATCATTGATCAGAGACCATCGCTGCGTTTCAGTTGCCGATCTCCTCTAACGTCCGATCATCAAAGATCAGTTCTGCCTGCAGCGAAGCGGGCTCTGACGCAAATGGGCAGTGGATTTCTCATAGTTCAGTTGGTTTCAACAGGATGTCAACATAAACACGGATGGTTTTCCAGTTTGGCCGGTTTGATGGGTAAAGTTGTGGTGAGGCTAAATTAATTACGTTGTTTCTAAATCACGGATCTTTTTTTGGAAACAACAAACTGCTTAGGGGTCGAATGACACAAAATCCATCATTGATGATGTTTACCATCAAATACCACAGGCTGATGATATTCCCAAATGGGTCTAGGTGAAACTTGGATACCTAGAGATCGTTCATACCAAAGATGATGAGGGAATCTAGTGCTCCTTGGGTCAGATTTTCTGGATTATTTGTCGTGTTTCTAGGGATATCCCAATAGATGATCCCTTGCTGGAACATACAGCCATGATTGCTTAAGCCAAAATCTTCATGCAAATAGCTTGAAGCTTGACAAAATACATGATATTCATTGATATTCCTCCTTTGGGTGGCTAAATCTACCCCAGCTTCTCCAACCATTTGAGTTTGTCTGGAAAAAAAAGGCTACCCCCAAATTGGAAAAAAATCCCAAGTTTTGAACAATTGAAACCACATTCTCCCTACTCAAAAAAATTGCTGGGGTATCCCCCATTGTTGGACAAAACATGGACAGGAAGGGCTGAAAGCCAAGGCGCATCCTCATTTTTCGCTAGGTACTTGAAGCGTTTCAATGCCGCTTCTCCCTGGTGTCGGTTCAACCGATGGATATGGAGCAGATTGCAGAGAAAAAGTGGGAGACGTTACGAAAGAAGCATGTGGAATTTCAATGATTTCAATGATTCAATCAACAAATCTGAAATTGAGGCAGAATTTATGGAAATCAACAAAAAAACATGGGGATATCATTGGGATATCACCGGGATGGGAGTATGGTGAGGAAAAATTGACCATCAGCTATAGCATACAAAATTAAAAATGAAAAACATGAAGTTCTACCTGGATAGTAATCCATAGAAATGAGCCATCCCAAAGTGCTCTGTCGTAGATCGAAGTGACCGGCGACAAACCGCTTGCCACGGCAACATTTTATCAACTTGTGTGCACTTCATAAAAAGGTATCCAAACGCCAAGTTTAAGAGCAAGTGGATCATCATCATTTTCCTCATTAAATCAATGGCCACTTCAGGAACCTAAAATGGAGGTACCTACCATATATAAGGCCTATATAAGGCCTATGTAAGAGAATATCCAAGCAAAATATGGCCAAACATATGGTACAGTACCTCCACTTTAGGATCCTGAAATTCCCATTGATTAAATGGCTATTTGGGGGGCCCCAAATGGAAGCTCTATGACTCCATGACCCAAGCCACCAGCAAAGCCACCAGCCACGGTCACCCCGGTCACCCGCACCTCGTCTACCATGGCTTGTGTCTGATCCTTGAGATGTCTGGCCTCAAATATGCCAGCAGTTTGTCACAGTTTGTCATTGTTCTTCCGATCAATTTATTGATGTGCCATTGATGTGCTTGATTTTGACTATATATTATTATATATAACATCCTTTTACTAATCTATAATTGGTTCTTCGTAGTGGCTATTGTGATTTTGGTCATAAGCTATAACCAATCGTAGAATGAATCAATGAGTGGTTATACTTGCACTTGTCATTTATCACCAATTAGCAGGTAACTATAATAAGAGATACAGAAACAAATTATGACAAGTTATAAGAACTAGTCATATTAACCAGTGAACCAGTGATAAGAACCAGTCTACAACCAATTAAGCAATCAGTTGAAATTTTAAACCGATCAACCAGCGTTTATCTTATAGAACTTATATTCCCTTTTTATGATGCTTTGAAGCCAAATTTTGATGATTCAACCCCCATGTTTAAACCTCCATAGCAAATCACCGTGAAATGATTTGCCAAATTCCAACAACAATGGCTATAAACATGCTATAAACTGCTATTCAACGTCCAGCTATGAATGATATCACTGAGAAACACGCCAGCTATGGATATAAACATCCATTGAATGCTGGGGGTTTTCTCAGCAACGAGCTCCCGAGCCATCAGCACTTCGGCAGGATCGCCACCGCCAGGAAGCTGAGACTGGGCGAAGTGGGATGAGAAGATATGACACGAATAAAAATAGGGATCAAATATGGATTATACTGGATATATAGGATAACATAATATATGAATATATGGATATATGAATATATGGATAATATATGGATGATAAATATGGATTTTACAATGATTATACTGAATGATGTTGATATTGATGATGATCGTTGATGTTTTCCCATTTATCACTGTATTATCATCACTATTATCGTGATTGTGATGTTGCAATTGTTGGTGACGATGATGGATTACTATCAGTACTATTGTTACTCGTATCATTACTATCAGCACTATTGTTACTCGTATCATTACTATCAGCACTATTGTTAGTATGGGATGACAACTATAATGAGGACGAGGACGAGGATGATCAAGAAGATGAAATGCGTTTTCCGCAAGAAACCTTTTTGCAAAAGGCACCCATGTTAAGAACCCCCTTGTGGCAACAACCCTCCACCGGTGGCTGCAGCCTTTCGAAGGAGTTCGTTGAGGCTTCGAGTCATTGCATTCACTTTGTCCCAATCTGCGACGGCTCAGCTTCAGCATATGCGGGGTGTGCATGTCCACAAATCGGAAAAACACATTATTTCCACAACCATATTTTCGCAACAACCTGCAGATTTGTTTGGAAATGTTCGCAGAGTCCCAGAGTTGTTCGATTTTTTGAACTTTGCTGCAACATGACAGGGTGTTCGAATTTTTGTTCCCAGCTATGAATATTAGTCCCAGATATATTCTATATATACACCACAAATGTTCGCAGCAACCTATTTTGAACACATTTCTTTGGGTCTGGTGACCACTGGTGGCACAGGAATGCAAGATCAAAGCGTTCGTACCTGCCTGGCCGGGCCTAAAACCGCAAAGCGGCTTTCCTTTTCTGCGCAAGTCCAGTCACGGATTTTAACCATGCTAATCATTAAACAATATATTTAATGATATATATATATATATTATATATAATTATATATAACTATATATAATTAATATAATTGACATTAATTGACTATATATATATATATGTTTGGCTTATGAATTGGAACCTCGTTTCCATTGGGCAGTTTCCCCATTTCCATTGGTACTGTCATTATTGTTGGTCATAGACTCATAGACCCTTCCATTTCGACAATAGTTGGGGCAATCCAGTTGTAGTTTCAGGAAACCTTAACAGGAAACCCTCAAAATCTCCCTAACTTGTAAAACTCTGGCTTCAGCATGGTCAATCTTAAATGCCTTGCAAAAAAATAATATCACTTGGAGGTTTGCTAAGTCATGAGGGTTCCCCATGTATCAGTAATTCTCTATTTTCGGATTTTCACTATAAACCATCCAGCTATCCAGCCATTGGGGATCATTTCTGGAACCCCCCCATAGATTCCCAAGGTTTCCAGCCTACAGCCGCTTCACGATAGCCCGCAGCTTCTCCAGCTTTGGTCTGGCCGGCCACTGGGAATTTGGGGAGCATTTTGACCCGAAAGCTTCGGTGATCCATTAATCATTAACCATGGATGAATGGGATATTAATGGGATATTGATGGGATATTAATGGGATATTAATGGGATATTCATGGGATATTAATGGGATATATAGATATAAATGGTGTATAGATGATCCATTAACCATTAATGGGATATTAATGGGGATGACCTCTGAAGTATTGATATTGAATGGCAAAAAATCACATCGTTCCAAAACAAAGAAATCTCCCGGAACGAACGTATGGCGCACCACGGCTTCGTCTGAGTAGTACATGGCATTGGCGGATTCACGTTGTGCTTTGCCTCGGCCGTGGTGACACCGGTGACACAAAAAAACTTTCGACCAAAGCGAGTTTCATCAAACCTGGCTTGCTGGGAAATCTCCCATTTATATCCTTAAATGATATATATATATATATAATATTAATGATGGTTTATTAATGATTTATACCAATAAATGGGAAATTCCCCATTTATTAATGATTTCACCATTAAACCCTCCACCTATGGTGGATTTCTCATTGCTATGTTTGAATACCAGAGGGTATCCTTGTCACTGGCTGGCTAAACCTGAGCCCTGTTCTTATTCCAACAACGAAGGACTAGGTCCTAGGTCTACGTTGTCAAGTTTTTCTAAAGTTCATGAATACAAGTTTTGGCTTATCTGTAGTTATTTATAGTTATAACCATATATTAACCATTATTAACAGTATATTAACCACATAGGATTATTTGACAGTTACTTGATAGTTATTTGATAGTTACCCTCTGATAATTTAACATAGCTATGGAAAATCACCATTTTTGATAGGTAAACCCAGGTAAACCATCTATAAATGGGCCATTTTCCATGGCTATGACCGCTCTGGGTGGCCGGACCACTGGCCACATCTGCAAGGGCTCCAAACCAGCCCGATTCTGTGGCGATAGCACCTGGATTTTTCGGGACTGGGGAGGGGACATTCGAAAGAAATCCTGGTTGGTGTTTTAACCATCTTGAAAAATATGAAAGTCAATGGGAAGGATTATCCCATATATTATGGAAAATAAAAAATGTTTGAAACCACCAACCAGAATCATTTTTTATGATAGTTTGTTTGTGGAGTATTTTGAGCTGGTTCGGCAACAGAAATCACTGAAATCCACTGATTTCTGGCGTCCAAAATCCAGGTTGAGGTATACCAGGAATGCATCAACTCCACTGATTACTCATCTCATCATACTGGGGATGGTTGCGAAATCCTGCACCACCAAACGGATGGTTGAAACTCTATAAATAGTGGGACAAACCACCTATCAGCTGGTGCAGGATTTCGCAACCATCCACCGTATTTCTAGCCACAGCCACAACCCCATGGCCCCATATCTGAGACGCCCCACGGGCTCGTGCAGCTGGTTGACCCTGTGTCGGATGGCTTTCCAGTTGTGGATATTGGGGTACCCATTAGGGGTACCTTATTGGATGATTGCGGATGATTTTGGATGATTTTATATCTCACTGAATTACAATGATTTTTTTGGGTATCTCATTTAGAGAAACCAGCATTTTGATCTAATCAGTGGATGAAAATGGCAAATATACTGGTAGTTGCATGTATGTCATGTTCATCTTTGATCTCCTCTGCGTCTAAAACACCCAGTGGATGGGACATTGCTACCCCCAGCAGCCTTCCTAGGAATGACTTCCATGACTAACTATCAACTATCAATTGTATCAACTATCAAGGACGGACTCTCAATCAGAAGCACCTATGAACTATCAAGTAATATCAAGTAATATCAAGTAATATCAAGTAATATCAAATAATATCAAGTAATATCAAGTAATATCAAGTAATATCAAGTATGAGCATTTCTTAACCATCTTAACCATCAACTATCAAATCTAACTTTGAATCCCCAAAGAATCTTCGTTTTTCACCACCACTCCAGCTGCTCCAACTGCACCTGAAAAAATGGCGAGATGGGCGGCGGCAGCAAAGGTGGCTTATCTGGCGGCGGCCACCAAGCCTGACGCCGGAGATCCCTGAAGTGAATGGATTTCTGATGGATTACCCTCTGCTAATGGAAAACCATTTGCTGAGAGAAATGCTGGCAATGCTTTGGATATATATATATATAATTATATGTATCATGATTTATTTTACCATTTGCCGTGGTATAGATGGCCCATCTAGTTTGATGATGGATTCATATTGTTTTAATGGCGACTTGCCCTTATTTATGTGTGAAATTACCAGAAGGTGATGGACTATAAACCAGCTATCTGCCATCGGAATAGTGTGGGCTTATTGATGGGGAATGTAATGGATCTATGATTCACTAGGTGGAGGGAACAATTAGGAGGTTGTATGCCATGGTTATCTGCAGGCAGTTGCTCATAAACCGCGCTTCCAAGATCAAATCTTGGCCGAGAAATGAGACAATTGGGATAGTTCTTGGCGACATGAGATCAATTGATTGGCTTAAAGGAACATTTACAGGAAACCATGGACTTGGGAACTGAATATGGGGGGCGTCGTATGCAGTCTATTGTACATTGTAAATGAATCCAAGTACATTAATTGAATGGATATGGATTTGCAACTCATCATGCTTTACCTTTGGAATCCATAAAACGAGAAAGTCAAAGGATGCACCCAATTTTTGTGTGACACATTTTAAAGATTTTTTTCACATCAAAAAACCCTGGGGAAAATCCAGGTGACGCCCAACATCCATGGTGTTTTAACTGTTCTCCAATGGGATGATCATGATTTTTCGACGCCAGAAGCTGGGACCCAGCGACCCAAACATTGGACATAAACAGATGGTGATAACTCTAAATGGTGGATAGAAAACTGATACTATTACTGGTATAACTATTGTTAATGATTTATGATACCCATTGTTTGATGCCAACTCAAGTGGATAGAACTGATACTGTGGATAAAAATTGCGAAATCCGGCAGCACCAAACGGATGGTTGAAACCCCAACAAAATCATGGGATGTTTATCATCAACAAGTCCAAAATTTCTTAACCATCCCATAATTAGGAAAAACATCAATAAATATCAGTTTATCCCATATTAGTTCGATTTATTTATCTGGTTGGTGATTTGAACCCTCTGAAAAATATTAGTCAGTTGGGATGATTATTCCCAATACATGGAAAGTCATAAAATTCCATGATTCCAGTCACCACCAACCAGTGATGGTTATCTTAGTAGGGATGATGATGATTAAGCCACTGGAATGGCTATCCTATGGCTATCCTATGAGTATCCCTTAGTGCCTCAGTTCCAAAAAATCACCAGCTCCAAAGCTCTGATTGGACCATGCCTCACCCACCGGTGGAGGACCTTCATCTCCCCCAAAAACGCCCTTGGCGGCACCTGCATGACATCTATACATATATAAATAAAACATGTAATAAATGTAAATATGCGTAGATATGATTTGGGATGCTTATATAATATGATGTGCAATAAACAGGGATGGAAGCAACAACAAAGCGGGCCTCTTTGAACTCTTTTTGAGGCGTGATCCATCAACCATTCTGGATTCTAAGGGCTTTATATTGGAATCGAATCGTTGTCTAACTTTGCGTGGAGTGGATTGATGTTCGGGACTGCCGAACAGGTCAACTTTTTCGCGGCATTATGTAAGTTGTCTCACAATTTGGAACACACTGCCAACTGCCCCATGGCTAATCCTTTCATTCAATGAGTTTTGGCTCACACACGACATGTCCTGTATCTAGATACAGATACAACCTTGTCAAAAGAATCTCAATTGGAACTACATTAATATATAATTAATATATAATTACATATTAATATTAATGTATACAGTATACATATATATATATAATTCTATATAAATATATACACACATATTATACACCTGAATCGCCTCGATGTGTTTCACCGGGCTCCACTACCAAAAAATCCATCCGAGTTTCGGACCCATCAGCGCTTTCATTGGGACGAAGGATGGGCATCAAGCCGTGACGTCCCAACGTTGCTTGGGAAGGCTGCACAGTTCATGCAGTGAAAGATAGGACACTGACTGTTTTGGTGGATAGCAAATGGATACCAAATGATAGCAAATGATAGCAAATGGATACCAAATGATAGCAAATGATAGCAAATGATAGCAAATGGATACCAAATGATAGCAAATGATAGCAAATGTCTTGGTGGATCCGTTTGTCTACTGTATCAAGTGTATCTCAAGGTTTTTGTTGGGTGCTTTGCTTCGTTGATCTCATGGTCGATTTCCAAAAAACGTGGGCAAAATACTTCGACAGCCTTCTGCTTCAGAGTTCGCCGTGTGAATCCATCTCACATCAAACATATACCCTCTGGTTATTTAACATAACCATGGTATAGATGGTCCATTTATAGATGATTTTCCTAGCTAGAAACCTCCATGGTTGGGATTTTCCATGGCTATGTTAGTCAAAACCAGATGGTAAAACATTCCAACATCAGTGGGATCAGCCGCTGTGCAAAGCCACGTGTTTCGCCGCACGGAAACCGGTGTGCTGCCTGGTGCGGTGAAAACTTTGCAGCTGAATTTCTATTCACTTAAATGATTTAAATAGAATTCCTGATATATTCTTCCTAAACATCAGCAAATTGGCTTGGGTGATGGAAATGGTGAAGTTGAAACAGTTTATTAAATACATTGAACAATCCCAATTGTCAGGTGATCAATATATCGAGAATTTTGGCACCGAATTTTGACCCTGGAATCCAAATTTGAATCTGTTTGGGGGTTTCCATACATGGGGATACCCCAAAATGCATAGTTAAGAGAAAAACCGTCTATAAATGGATGATAACTAGGGGTACCCCCATGACTCAAGAAACCTCCATATGAATCTGTTTGAAGACCTTGAGGTTTTTGTCTCTGTATGAATGTTTCTGCCGCATCGATCCAGTCATATTTCAATTGACTCTGAAATGCCTCAATTTGAAATCATGTAGCCTCTGGTAAACATACAAAAAACTATGGAAATTGGCCCATTTATAGTTGATCTACCTATTATAAATGGTGATTTTCCATAGTTATGTAAACGTTTACCAGAGGGTATTTTTTGGAGGGACACACCAATTCTTTGCTCATTTTCGGGATATTTCATGATCTTTGGCTGAAGCCATCATGGCTATCCAACCCTGCACCGCCTGGTTGGGGAAGAACAACTCTTCGGATGGAGCGGCTTCTCTGCCGACTCCACCCTCCGGGTCTTTAAAAAAAATCCACTCTATTGCGCGCAAGGAGATTCTCCTGAATCGTTGCCCTTGTTTTCCACATATTTCGCAATTACAGAAGTTGAAAGGCACTTTGGGAACCATCCCCCCAAAATCATCAACATGAACATGTAACACATATCATCACCAAAATACCATCATCAACAGCATCAAAACCCGTGACGTCTCAACGAAGCACGCAATAGGCATATAAATCGCACCCAGATTCATCGTCTCAACGGGTTTCAGTGCTGCCCTGCCGCAGTGGAAATCATGGGGATATCTCAGGGAAAATTCTAGCGGCGAAGCACTAACTAACTATGGTCATGTAAGTTGGATAAATGATTATGAACAATGAATGTGTAAAATGCGAATGAATATGTATATATAATATCATATAACATCATATAATATCATAAAATATCATATAATACCATATAACATCATATAATATCATGTAATGATATATTAGCTAACGTAATACCTATATATGTGAGACGTAGACATCACAATGATAAGACGAAGCGAAATGGAGCTATTCTGTGGCTTCACCCCAACCGATTGGTGAATCATCCTTTTTCCCACTGCTGGGCTGTACTTCCCAAACGCATCTCATGAACATGTTTTTGTCAAGTCAGGTACTAAAATTCACCTTTTCGCCTTATAGTGGTCTTTTCGGATCTTCAAAATTTTGGACCTACGGCCAGGTTTGAACCCAATTTCGTTCGCTGGTTTGGGATGCCAGGTTTATGGTTGAAATCTGTTCTGAATGGGATGTCTTTGGGATGTCCCGTGAATCACGTCCCTATCAGACAGACTGTTCTGAATTTTTATATCCAAAGACATCAGCAGATAGGTACACCATAAAAAAAACCATTTTCTGGGTTTTGCCAAACGTTTAAGTGCCTCTGGTTTAGCAGTTGGCAAACTATGATGGGCCTCTGGTTCTACCCTGCTATCTGTTGGCTCAGAGACATGATTTCAGCTGAGTATGGATCAAGACACTGGCATCCCAGTGGATGAGATGGTGATACGTTCAGCAATCCACTTTTGTGAGATGCCTTACGGTGGAGTTTCCGTGGTTGAACAGTTGTACTATAATCCCATTCTTGCTAGTGTTTGTTGGCTTAGTTGATCTTGATTGTGCAATGTTCCATCCACTGTTTGCATACCTTCTATCGGTCTGTCTATGCAACCAATACTCCGGTCGGTTGAAAGAACCATGAATAGCAATCTAACTTGACAATAATCACTTTCCAACAACAAACACCTGGATATGGGATTGTCCAAAAACAACGTCTCAAAATGTCGTGGTTTGAACAGTGACAAAATGTCCCCCACCAAGATGGTCAAAGATGCCCAAATTATGGCAGCTCTCGCAGGAGAATGCTGCATGGATGCCACAAATTCCTCAAGGAATGCCACATTCTTTTAAATGATGACTTAAGACTTATGAGAAGCATGCTGTTACCCTTAAAATCTGAGTTGATACTATGTTTTAAAACCACTGTTTTTTTCAAGAGAGCAGCATGCTTTTCTTTACAAAACCTTCCATATCTCTTAATGAGGCAGGGACGGCAGGGAACTCTGTCAGGAAGATGCAGTACTGCTTGGGGACAAAATGATATCTCGTGTCAATGAATAGTGCGGTTTCCTCTTGTTCATGGAAGCTATAAAGACATGCTGCATAGAAGCAACCACCATCCTATCGTTTGAGCATGGCGCAACCGGTCAAAAGTGAATTCCATTTCTCTTTGATATTCATTGGCCCAATACAATATTTTATAGTAAACATGGCTGTATTGCAGCATATTCCTACCAAACTGCATTTCCCAGCTGATTGACGACGGGTTTGCATACAACTTACCAAAAATCGCACTCCCACACAGACTTGGACTCGAGGCGATATCCAGTTGGGTTTCCCAGTCAATATGCATCGCTTGTTAGTGAAATCAGTTCTTAGTTCAATTCCCCATTGCTGGCTAAAAAAATCGCCAGAAATATCCACATTTTAGTTGCAGCCTATCCCTCTAAAGTACCATACAAAACCATTAAATCCCATGGAAAATCCCATTAAAACACCATCAGAACACCTATTGAGATCCCCACATTGACCACCTTAGATTCCCGCCAGCCTGTAGAGCTTCCACTTGACCTGAGGTCGCTCCAATCAAACTGTGGAAAATTGGCATTTTGTCCCATGAATTCAGGGATTTAATGGGCACAACAGTCTTGTTTCAGCTTCGTGAATGGTAGATGATATTAAATGACAATGATCATATGTCACTAACCTGAAATAAGGCTTGTTGTTCCCTGGCAAATTTAAGCCAGACACCCACGTCAAGACACCCACGTCGCAGCCCTGAAATAAGGCGTTGCACCCCTCTTTGACCCCTGCAGCACTCAACGGATCTCCAGTTGGGGGAACGATCCAATGAATTTAATCCAGCAACTAGATGATCTGTAATATAGTTGGTTAAATATATGGTATAACTATAGCAATATGATCTTTGGTGAAGCCCTGCCCCCGTACTTGGATCATCGGGGGAGTTTTCTGCCAGCTGACCGATCCAGTACAGAAGATCTTCATTCAGCACCTCCAGCGCCATGCTGGGCGAGGGCCCGTTTATGAAGGAACAAAGTGGTCCATGGTGAAACGATTATACAACATATTGGTGGTTTAACTATGTAACGTTCACTAAACTATTAGTTTATCATATTAGTCATGTAATAGTTAAAGTCGTCATATGGTGGTTTTTCACATGGTTTAAGATGGTGATATTGTAGAACTCACCCATCAACTATGGGAAGTACAATGATGTTTTTCTGGGGATAATGAGGATTAATTGATTAATCATCAACGATTTGGATTCACCAATTGTTTGGGTCTGAAAATGGAGTTTTTCCCTAAAAAACCCAGTTGTGTCTACTTTTATAGGGAACAGGCAGTTGATGATTTTTTTCTTTGGATGGAATCGGGTATGTTTGGATAAACCCATCTCTGGAAAATCCAAAGGATAACCCAACAGGATAAACTCCACCGTGTTTTTTTCGAATTTGGGCATCACGGTATCTAACAATGGGATAGTTGCCATTAATGAAGTCTGAATCATGGTTCCATGGTTTTTTGCATTCAACATATTTCAACCCATTCCCAAAGGAGCAGATGTTTTTCCTCTACCGTTGTATCTTCTTGCCAGTCTCCGCGTCGGTGCAGTCTAGAAGCGACGACCAAGTCGAACTGATATTGTCTTGCTGACGCGCGGATCCAAATTTCTTTGATATCGCAATGGTTTGTTGTGGGATCTCCTCAAATAATTCACTTGAATGTTTTCCCAGGTGTTTGAAGAACTCAAGAAATACCTTTTACATCCTTTTACATGGGTCATTAAATGTCCCCATTGAACATCACCCAACCATTAGGTATATGGTCTATAATGGCTACTATTTCAGGTGATGTCCAATATACCCAAAATGGGACAGTTACCAACCCCTGTTTTACTTTATTGCTATTCGATTTCAGGAATGTGGTGAATCAACACTGATGGCTTCGGGGCAGTTCTCTTCGGAAAGCATCCGCAGCATCAGCATCTTTGGGCACAACTCCGGAATCGCTTCGCACACGACAATCATGGTTAAAGGCTGTGGTACTGGCTCAAAATGCCGGCATCTTGTCCGTGGGACGAAAAAAAACCCAAGTGGTTGGAGGAGTATTGAGGTGGAGCCCATTGGAAATGAATATCTGGCAATATCTGGCAATATCCGACCATCTGCTCAAAAAACAAGCAT